AGCTATAAAGGTGTTAAGGTCTTATTGTGTTATTGTTTACAAGTGTAGAGAAAAAACATCTACCAAAGTAAAAGAGAAGTGCTAGTGGAATCACACCATCACAAGGTAAGTAAATCCAACTCAAGCTAAAGTTAAGAAATCCTTGAGTAGAGATTTCTTTATGCATGTATAAATGATGCTTGTTGAGAAATTGAGTAGAGATATATGTTTGTTTGTTGAGAAATTGAGTTGAGATGAGTATTTATGTTGTGGTGTTGGATATGGTCTCTTCATGGGAAGTGTTAATGTGTGATGAGTTGAGATGAATTTGGAGGAGATTGAGTATATATTTGGAAGTGTTCTTCTATGATAGGAGTTATGTCCATAGAAAGGAATTTCCTCCCATTTTGGATGGTTACAAAGAGAAAGAGAATTGTAGTTAGAGACGAGTTTTTGTATGCACATGAGTTGTTTGATGAAATGCCTAAGAGAAGTATGAGAATGAGTTATGAACCTTAATTCTTGCAACATTGCATATTGGCATTTCCTAAGTGCATTAATGAGTATGAACCATCCGTATGCATTAATTGTGCATTATGAAGTAGCTTGAGAAAGAGTAGAGAATTTCTAAACTATGAGTATTAGCTTGAGAAAGAGTAGAGACCTTTGTGCTTAAACTACTCTAAGAGCTAAAGAAGAGAATAGAGTAGGTTGTGCGATGGGGAACCCGTGAGTGATGAGTAAAGTCACGAGAGTCGGTGCTTTGTGATCCCCAGCCGTGCCTCCAGTCAGATGAGGCCATGACCGTCACGAAGAGTGGAACATGAGGTTCTAGCTGTGCCTCCAGTAATAAGGGGACGTGACATTTGAGAGATAGAGAGAAAGAATGTACACTCACATGGCCAAAGGTTTCGAATCCATGCATAACCGAATCTGATCGGTACAGAAATGAGTAGAAGTCACATAGAGCGGGAGAGTTCCCAGCCGTGCCTCTGGTAAGATGAGGTCGTGACATTCCCATGAGTAGAATGGGAAAATAGAGAAATAGAAAGAACAGAAAGAGAAAATGAGTAGAGTCACGAAGAGTGGGTTGAGTTCCCGGCCGTGCCTCCGGTAAGATGAGGTCGTGACATTCCCATGAGTAGAATGGGAAAGCAGAGAAATAGAAAGAACATAAAGAGAAAATGAGTAAAGTCACGAAGAGTAGGTTAAGTCCCCATCCGTGCCTCCGGTAAGATGAGGCCGTGACATACACCAGAGATTATATAGAAAAGAGTATGAGAAATAGAAACAGAAAGAGAAGAGAACTGAGAAGAGAAGAGAGTAAGGAAAGAATTAAGAGAAAGAGTTACGGGGATAGACGAGTAGAGGATTTACTTACTGAGCATTATTTTGCTCACCCCGTTGTTTTTCTATGTTTTTGCAGGTTCTAGATGAGGACGCAATCGGATGGATGTCGGCGGGTGAGGAGGAGTAGTTGCACTATCCACCACACTTTTGTGAACTTTTGTAAAGGAGACTGACTTTTGTAAAAGAATATGTATATTAAATAAAAGAAAATTTGGGCCCAACTATTTTTATTAATGTATTCGTATTTTATTATACGTATTTTTTTATGAGTATAGTAGTATCAAGCAGCTATTACATTTTTGGTATCAGAGCAGAGATTTTGGGATTTGACAGTGTACTCTTCTCATTGCTACGATGTCCGATAGCCAACTGTGTAAGTTAATTCTTTCCTTACTATGAGTGTTTCTCAAATTGATCAAATGTGGTTGTTTTGTAGATGAGGCGTAGAACCTGAAATCATGGTAAGGGTGTGATGAATGAGGGAGAACCTTCTAACCCACCAGAATCTATGCCTGCTCCCTTGGATGAAGCTAGAATTCAAGGAATTGTACAGCAAGTTATGGCAGAAAGCCAAGGGAGAGTTGAGACCCCCGTGCAAGTACCACCGACTACTAATGTCGGAAGAGAACAATCGGTACCTCCCCTAGTAAAGAATAGAGTTGAACCAATTTATGGTCTTCCCAGTCAACATCAACCCTCAGAGTTTAAGGGTACTACGGACCCAGTAATAGCAGAAGAATGGTTTAGGTCCGTAGAGCGTACAACAGGTTTATTCCCCATGACAGATCGGGAGAAGATCTGGTATGTGAGTTTCTTATTTCAGGGTGATGTCCGAATTCTGTGGGAATTAATAGAAGATACTCATGATGTTACAGTAATGACCTCAGAAGAATTCAGGTGAGAGTTTGAGGCCGAGTATAGAACAGAGGACCGAGTTCATGAGAAGGTCCAAGAGTTTATTGGTTTGTAGTAGGGGTCCAGTACAGTTAAAGAGTATTTAATGAGATTCAATGCCCTTGCCAGATTTGCACCAGGAATTGTTAGTACTCCGGTCTTGAGGAGAGATAACTTTGTTCATGGGTTGAAACCGGAGATAGCCTAGGAAATAATGGCGGGTGCCGATCCCCCGCAAACCTATAGTGAGGCCTTGAGATGAGCAATGAGGGCGAAGATATTTGAGAACAAGATCAGCCTAGTAGGTCCCTCCATAGAAGGATCGAGTGAACCGTCATCCGCCCCACAGAGAGAAAAAGTTGAGGGTGGAAAGAGCAAAGAAATGAAGAGTAATAAAAAGAAGTTTTAGCTTAGACAGAATAGAAGGGATTGGAGGAGTAAACGACTCGGACAGAAGGGTTTCCTGTGGGAGGAACCACTCAAGAGAGTGTTTGAGAGATCAGAATGTGTGTTTTCGATGCCGGCAGCCAGGGCACTTGAGGAGGGATTGTAAAGCTCCTCTCCCATCAACAGTTCAAAGTTCTAAAGGTACTAATGCCAGAGTGTTTACCATGGCACAAGGTGAAGTAGAGGCCAGTCCATTAACTATAACTGGATAGTTATTATTCCATGCTATTCCTTTATATGCTTTAATTGATTCTGGAGCCACTCATTCTTTTGTATCATATGGGATGATAGAGAGGTTAGGTTTGAAACCTACTACAGTGAGTAAACCCATTAAGATAGAGTTACCCGAAGGGGTTAAGTGTTGTGACCCATGAGATGTTATCAGGAGAGTCAATAGTGATCCATGGACGAGAGTTAGCAGTTATTTCAGATTATGAGTGTGAGATCAAGTATCAACCAGGGAAAGCCAATGTAGTAGCCGATGCCTTGAGTAGAAAAGCTTATTTGTCCCGGCTCACTAAGCAGAAAGATTTGATAGAAGAATTATGTAAAGAACAGATTGAAAGTGTTCCAGGAAGGATTGCCAGGTTAGAGATTCAGTCTACTTTGCTGGAGGAAGTCAGAGATAAGCAAGTGGCCAATGAGTGGTGTCAGAGAATAGTTTAGCAAGTGCATGAGGGCAAGGAAATAGAGTTTCAAGTAATAGATGGTGTCTTTTATTTCAGGAATCAGTTGTGTATCCCTCAGAATGATGAGTTGAAGAAGAGACTACTTACAGAGGCTTATGACACACCGTACACTGCTCATCCTGGAGCAACCAAACTGTATCAAGATGTAAAGTAAGGCTATTGGTGGCTAGGTATGAAGAGAAATATTGCAGAATTTGTAGCTAAATGTCTGATTTGTTAGTAGGTGAAAGCAGAACACCAACAGCCGTCAGGGTTGCTTCAGCCACTTAGTATTCCAGAGTGGAAATGGGAGAGCATTTCGATAGATTTTATCACAGGTCTCCCTAGAGTTCAGAAAAGATATAATGCTATAGGGGTGATTGTGGATAGGTTAACCAAGTCAGCCCATTTCCTTCCAGTAAGGGAAAGCACTACTATAGATCAGTTGGCTCAGATGTATATTAAAGAGATAGTCAGGTTGCATGGAGTGCCCAAGACAATAGTGTCAGATAGAGATTCCAGATTTGTTTCAGCTTTCTGGATGAGTTTACAAAAGAATTTGGGTACTCGTTTAACATTTAACACTGCCTACCATCCTCAGACAGATGGCCAAACAGAGAGAACGAATCAGGTACTTGAAGATATGTTGAGAGCTTGTTGTATGGATTATAAAGTTTCCTGGCATGAGATGTTACACTTAGTGGAGTTTGCCTACAATAATAGTTATCAATCTACAATTAAAATGGCGCCTTATGAGGCTTTGTATGGTAGACGATGTAGGTCTCCACTACATTGGGACAAGATCGATGAAAAGGACGAGTTGAGTACCGCTCTTGGGCCAAAGGTGACTCAGAAAATGATAGAGGATGTAAAGTTAATCAAAAACAGAATGAAGCAAGCCCAAGACAGACAGAAAAGTTATGCTGATCTGAAGAGAAAAGATGTTGAGTTCGGAGTGGGTGATAAAGTGTTTCTAAAAGTTTCCCCCTATAAGCAAGTAATGCGCTTCAGAAGCAAAGGGAAATTGGCACCGAGATTCATAGGTCCATTTGAGGTGTTGTAGCGAGTGGGAAAGGTAGCCTACAGATTGGCACTACCACCTAGCATGGACAAGGTGCATGATGTTTTTCATGTCTCGATGCTTCGGAAGTACGTAAGTGATCCCTCCCATATCTTAAGCATAAATGACATTGCCTTAGAAGAGAATTTTGTGTATGAAGAGTGCCCATTTCAGATTTTAGACCGAAGGATTAAAGAACTTCGCAATAAGAGCATTCCGTTAGTGCATTCCGTTAGTGAAAGTCCTTTAGAGAAACCATAAGCTTGCATGTTGTTATTTTCCATTGGTTGGCCCTTAGTTGGATTGATGAGTTGATTTGGTTAAGTGTCCATAGAAAGGAATTTCTTCCCATTTTGGATGGTTACAAAGAGAAAGAGAATTATAGTTAGAGAAGAGTTTTTGTATGCACATGAGTTGTTTGATGAAATANTCATGAGAACGTCCAAGAGGTTATTGGTTTGCAGCAGGGATCCAATATAGTTAAAGAGTATTCAGTGAGATTCAATGCCCTTGCCAGATTTGCACCAGGATTTGTTAGTACTCCGGTATTGAGGAGAGATAAATTTGTTCATGGGTTGAAACCGGAGATAGCCCAGGACATAATGGCGGGTGCCGATCCCCCGCAAACTTATAGTGAGGCTTTGAGACGAGCAATGAGGGCAGAGATATTCGAGAACAAGATCACCCTAGTAGGTCCCTCAATAGAAGGATCGAGTGAACCACCCTCCGCCCCACAGAGAGAAAAAGTTGAGGGTGGAAAGAGCAAAGAAATGAAGAGTAATAAAAAAAAGTTTCAGCCTAGACAGAATAGAAGGGATTTGAAGAGTAAACGACCTCGGACAGAAGGGTTTCCCCCTTGTCCTAAATGTGGGAGTAACCACTCAGGAGAGTGTTTGAGAGACCAGAACGTGTGCTATCGGTGCCGGCAGCCAAGGCACTTGAGGAGGGATTGTAAAGCTCATCTCCCATTAGCAGTTCAGAGTTCTAGAGGTACTAGTGCCAGAGTGTTTACAATGGCACAAGGTGAAGCAAAGGCCAGTCCATTAGCTGTAATTGGTCAGTTATTATTCCATGCTATTCCTTTATATGCTTTAATTGATTCTTGAGCCACTCATTCTTTTATATCTTATGGGATGATAGAGAAATTAGGTTATGGGTACAAAGAGAAATAGAATTGTAGTTAGAGAATGGTTGTTGTATGCACATGAGTTGTTTTATGAAATGCCTAAGAGAAGTTTGAGATGAGTTATGAACCTTAATTCTTGCAACATTGTATATTGGCATTTCCTAAGTGCATTAAATCCATATGCATTAATTGTGCATTGAGAAGTAGCTTGAGAAAGAGTAGAGAATTTCTTCACTATGCTCGAGAAAAAGTAAAGTCCTTTGTGCTTAAACTACTATAAGAGCTAAAGAAGAGAATAGGGTAGGTTATGTGATGGGGAACCCGTGAGTGATGAGTAAAGTCACGAGAGTGGGTGCTTTGTGATCCCCAGCCGTGCCTCTAGTCAAATGAGGTCGTGACCATCACGAAGAGTGGAACATGAGGTTCCAGCCGTGCCTCTAGTAAGAAGGGGCCGTGACATTCGAGAGATAGAGAGAAATAATGTACACTCACATGGCCAAAGGTTCCGAATCCATGCATAACCGAATCCGATCGGTATAGAAATGAGTAGTCACGTAGAGCGGGAGAGTTCCTGGCCGTGCCTCTAGTAAGATGAGGCCGTGACATTCCCATGAGTAGAATGGGAAAACAGAGAAATAGAAAGAACAGAAAGAGAAAATGTGCAGAGTCACGAAGAGTGGGTTGAGTCCCCAGTCATGCCTTCGGTAAGATGAGGCCGTGACATACATCAGAGAGTATATAGAAAAGAGTATGAGAAACAGAAACAGAAACAGAAACAGAAAGAGAAAGAGAACAGAAATGAGAAGAGAAAAGAGTAAGGAATGAATTAAGAGAAAGAGTTACGGGGATAGACGAGTAGAGGATTTGCTTACTGAGCATTTTTTTGCTCACCCCATTGTTTTTTCTATGTTTTTGCAGGTTCTAGATGAGGACGCAGTCGGATGGATGTCGAAGAGAGAGGAGGAGTAGTTACATTATCCACCACACTTTTGTGAACTTTTGTAAAGGATACTGACTTTTGTAAAATAAATATGTATATTAAATAAAAGAAAATTTTTGGCCCAACTATTTTATTAGTGTACTTGTATTTTATTATACATATTTTTGTATGAGTATAGTAGTATCAAGCAGTTATTACATGAACAAAAATTGCATTCCTCGCACGTCTCTTCCTCCAACCCATTTAACTTTGACCGTTTTGATTTAGTGAAGAATTGTCATACCTTGGACATGGCCTTCTTTGGCGATCGGGTCATGGAGTCGCAGCTCGCTTGTGTTTGGCTGGGCCTAGTCTCAACCATTTGTAGTTGTGGAATTAGAGTTGCTGCCTCTTAAAAGGGTGAAAAATGGATCGAGCCTTTCCATTTCTTCGGTGGATGGAACGTAAAACTGATTTGGGGATGATCCTTCGAATGCATAATTTCAGGAATCCATTATGAATTTATAATAAAATAATTAATAATTAAAATGAAAGAAATTGAATAATAATATTAATAATAGATGAAATTGAAAAATGGAAAAAATTGAATAATATGAATAAATGTAGATATAAATTGAATTGAAGAGAATTTGAGAATTGGATTAGAGAGATTGAGAGAAGAGAATAGATTGAGATTTGAGTTGTGAAAAAAATATGAAATATAGGGTTATAGTTGACGTTTGGGGGGGAAAGTGTGAAAAAAATAAAGTTCCAACAAATGCAATAGTCCTTATTTTTTATGTCCCTTCTAGTTGTGGCTCTACTAAAAGGGGTAATTGCTGGACAAAAAGAAGTTTTAATAATTTGAACAAAATAAGGACTTTCAAATAAAGAAATAGGAGAGTTCATAGCACATATGAATTTTGCTATTTCCTCTCATGCTATAAGTGCATTGTAATTCCATGTTGAAAGAGTTGAGGATTGTGGATTAAAATTAAGTAGTGTGGTACTTAAACCTAAACCAAACTAGTGGGACTACTGCATTTGTTGGGGGTGCTTCTTCTCTAAATGTCGCCACATCATTGAAGTCTCATTCTCAGCGCCAATAACTGTTGAACAAAAATTACATTCCTTGCACGTCTCTTCCTCCAACCCATTTAGCTTTGGCCGTTTTGATTTGGTGAAGGCAGTCATACCTTGGACATGGCCTTCTTTGGCGATTGGGTCGTGGGTCGCAGCTCGCTTGTGTTTGGCTGGGCCCAGTCTCAACCATTTGTAGTGTGGAATTAGAGTTGCTGCCTCTTAAAATGGGTGAAAAATGGATCGAACCTTTCCATTTCTTCGGTGGATGGAATGTAAAATGACTTGGGAGATCCTCCGAATACATAATTTCAGGAATCCATTATGAATTTATAATAAAATAATTAATAAAAAAATGAAGAAATTGAATATATGAATAAATGGAAATTAAATTGAATGTAGAGAATTTGAGAATTGGATTAGAGAGATTGAGGAAAGAGAATAGATTGAGATTTGAGTTGTGAGAAAATAGAATATAGGGGGTTTTTATAGTTGACGTTTGGGGGGGAAAGTGTAGAAAAAAAAAAAGATCCCCCCCCCCCCCCCCCCCCCCCCCCAAGTTGCCTGCCAACGGTCAACTGGCTGACCGTTGGGTGCTCAATGCAATATTTATTTTATTTATTTGAAAATATCAATTTAGCTTTTATATTTATTGTAGATTTGAAAAAAAAAATGGGGGTTTTAGTAATTAACCAAGGGTATTTTGAAAAGAAAAAAAAAAAAAAAAAGGTTTGGGGCCGAGCCCTCCTCCACGGTTTGGGTTAGGCAGGCTTTTTGGGTTCAGTCACAAAGGCCCACCTCTAAATTTATATCCTAACAAATATGACAATTGATTTGATAATTTAATTGACTTATCTCGTTGTTAGGGATGTTATCAAATCAATTATACCATATGAACTGATATACAAATTTGAGATCTTAATTTTGTAATTATAATATTATCGATATATTATATAACCTGTACCTCAAATGTAATAAAATCACACAAGTTACAATATAAACACATATATAATGATTTTTCTTAGTGTTTGAATAAGGACAGCCATACCTCTGTACTATAAGACTTTTTAAAATATGTAATTATATCTACGTGCATGAGATAAATTTATTCAGGGTTTTTTAAAACATTCGCATGCATGAGGTTTCCTGTAATAACATTATCTCTTCAAGGATTAAAAATAACAAAATATGTCTGGAATTTCTATCATATGATTTCGTAAGACTAGTCAAATGACTAATGTACCCATAAATTACTATTCATAATAGAAATATATTTTAATAAAAATGATCCAAACAAGATATCCAATATTTCACAACCAAATTAATTCTAACACTTTGAAATCAATCAAATTCAATAACCAAATGACAAAATCAACTCACTCAACCCACCATGGAACACAAAACCAAATCCCCCGGATGAACTAAATTAACCAACAAGGCAGTTAATGTAGCTTCAACCCAAAAAACCCAGCTAAGGTTGCAGCTACGATCTGCGGCCTCGCATGAGTCGCCATCAATGTTGCTAAGTCTTGCTAAAGGAGGCCACAAGGTCACAAAGCCGCTGAGTTGCTAATGGCGTCTATGGTTGAGGCTGCGCGCATCAAGGCCGCAAAGGGGCTCCAACAACTTCGGGTTCTATGAGTTTAAGGGTCTAGGTGGTATTTTCATGTGTTGATTTGATTACTTGTTGAAAACTATTTTTTTTAATTGATTTTTTGGGTGCAGTTATCGTATAGTACCTTTATTGGCTTCTTCTGTTAAAATAAACGTTGATTCCCTGTTAACACACTGTTGTCAGGCGCATTCTATTACTTCCGATACTAGAGCGGAAAAATATTATTTCAGAAAACCTTCAAATTTATTTATTGATAAGTAGAATGGTTTTATTCAGAAACTTTGTCCTTGCCACAGAACTTTTTTCTCCACCTCGTCCTTCCCCTTACTAATTCTGGTCCACACTCAAGGCGGAGCGAATGATCGAACTCAATTTCTTGATTATCTATCAAGCGATTGCTACTGATTTTGGATAGAGAATGTAGCACACTATCCACATTGCACTCCTTCCGATACTCCAAAGTCATGACGCAAAGCTCATGACTCTCCACAAATGAGCGAGGAACACCCTGATAAAAAAAACATTCATATATACTCAAATAAACATCATATGAAATTACTATGTAATAAATTAAGATTAATAAAGATGATAATAAAAAATAATCTCTACCTCCAGAACATAGTTAACCAGTTTGATATGGCTCACATGTTGATTGGCATCCATATCCATCCATCCAGGCTGAAAAACAAAATAACTAGTTAGTACTCCTAGTTGCAAATCTCTCTCTCTCTCTCTCTCTCTCTCTCTCTCTCTCTCTCTTCCTTCACATATATATATATATATATAGATAGATAGATATTGATAGACTGAGATATTGATAGACTGATTCATTACACTTACTTTTAAACCAGTGCGACTGTAATCTGCATTATCAGTATCGAGGTGCAGAAATTTCCTGCTACCCTTGTTGATGAGAGGGTCACAGTGCGTGAAAAAAGGTTTCAGGTCTGCTATGATGACTTCCTCGTTCGGCTTAGCAAATTTCCTTGTTTTCTTATTCATCATCGCATATAAACTGAATTTATCCAAAACATGGAAAATCATCAAAATAGAAAAACTCATGTCAGCTTCTCGGATTGTCATCACACACGTACATTAGAAAATAAAATATTTAATATCCATGAATTTCAGTTGGTAAACCTTATTATATATAAATTTTTATAGATTTCAAATGTTTGATTGAAATTTTATCTTTTAGTGCACTTTGAAATTAGAATAAAGAAAATAGGAATAAATTGGTAAAACTAGGTTAACCTGGTTGCCCGAATCAGCGTTTTGCCTGTTTTCAAGTCTCGGATCAGCCAGTCTCGACGAACGCCATTCCTCCCTGACCTATACATCCAAGCCTCTACTAGAACAACATCACTCCTTCAAAACAAACAAAAAATAACTGCATTAATAAATTCTCCTAAATCAATTCATTCTTGAGAAA